TCTCCTTTCCAACAAAACTTTCATCTTTTAATTCGTCTTCCTCTTTTGAGCTTAAAGAAGTACATGAAATCAGGAGGCATAACAAAATAGAAAATTTCAACAAAAAACCTACCCAATAGGAAATGAAAATATTTCATGATAAAACTCAAATTAGAGCTATCAAGAAAGATACATGCATAGAATTTCAATGATCTCACCTTGAATTTTAAATTACAGTTAATTGCATCACTTACAAGCTCCCAATTGAGACCAAAATTCTAAGTGCCTAAAAGGTCAATATCATCATTGATGTGAGCATGTCTCATGATGTTAAAAAATAAAAAACATATCTCAATTTTCAAGTGCCAGTAGATGTATGTGTATGTGTATATATTTGTGCTATGTACATATATGTATGTAAACTGACCTGGTCCTCAAAAACCATGTAGATAAATGAGATTATGAAATACATGAATTTCTGCAAATTTCTCTACATTAGCAAATTTTTTGTTAGTCAATCTCCTGGAAAAAATACGGTTAGTGTGAAAAAGAAGGAATAAGATCTTATATCTCAAAATAAACCAAATTAAAGAAATAAATTCAATTAAAAAAAGAATTCTAGTGTCACCTCTATAAATCGTAATCAAGAGGTAGAGGATAAAGATGAGATATCTCTGTTTATCAAAGAAAGAATTTCCCTGTAAACAATATTTTTTGTACAAATGTTGTGTAAACAGTCTGTATTCAATGGTTTCATTAGAACATTTATAGAATTACTTATTTTTGTTCTTGATAATGCTATATAAAGCTGACCATGACAAAAAACTGGTTCCGGAAGGTACAAGCCGACAAAATCAAGTGTTTGACCTTACGCTTTATTTATTATCATTGTAAAGCATGGTCTTATTGGAAATTGAGTCCTTTTGAATGGAATTGAGTTTTGATCATTTTTTAGAGGTATAAAAGGAATCCTTGGTAAGAAGACATACTTTCCACAATATTCGCCGGATGTAATTTCAGCAAGAATTACGTTCTTTTCAAATTTACGACAAGTAAGGCGAGTCCCATTACATAACCCTTCAGAATAATTGATATTTTGTAATAACATCACAGGACAGTTTATTTTAAGTTTCAGTTAATGTGGTGGAATACCGTTTGAAGTCAAGCTATTTAAAAAATCTTCTTGTAGACTCCGTTCTGATTTATCAATTGTTTTATTAAAATTATAGTATGTATAAAGTTGACCAGGAATTTGTTCGAGTAAAATTTTATTAATACGATCAACACATTCATTTGTAGGCATAAGAATCACTCGATTTGACATCGTATCTAGATTATAGCATATGTTTCTATATTTGGAAAAACATGATATATTAATTCCTTCAGAGATGTAATTTCTTCCTCAAATGGTAAAACTATATTGTCTGAAAATTTGATACATTTACAAGTATGTTCTTGTTCTGTTCCATCTCCAATTCTTAAAAAGTAATGGCAAAATGCAGGATCAAACTTTGCCCTCATATTTTCGACTAATGTAGATGGAAATACGAAGGCCATAGGTAAGAGAAAACTAAGCTAGCTTTCCTAATGTCTTCCTTTTTCCTTTTGGCAAAACTGGTAGAACTTGTCGAAAATCTCCTCCGAGCACTATCACTTTTCCATCAAAGAGTAAATTACAATCAGTAATATCTCTAAGCATTCTGTCTACAGCTTCGACAGCACAAGGATGTACCATAGATGCTTCATCCCAAATGATTACCTAGACATTTTCAACAAATTTCCTAAAACTGATTGCTTGCTAATAGAACAACTGATTTCACCAACTATTTCTAAAGGAATTTTAAATCTTGAATAAGCGGTTCGACCTCCAGCTAATAAAGATGTAAATACTCCGGACGATGCTATTGCTGAAGATGAGGTTTTCAAAATGAACAGTGAAATTTGCATCCTTTCTTTTATAAGTAGTGATAGTGAAGTAGTGATATAAATAAAATAAGGATATACTCAACCCATGAAAAACTTCGGACTTTCCAGCGGGGGAAAAAAGAAAAGCACAAGGAACAAAGAAAACGGGCATTAATAATTATTAGGTGTAATAAAGATGTAAATACTCCGGACGATGCTATTGCTGAAGATGAGGTTTTCAAAATGAACAGTGAAATTTGCATCCTTTCTTTTATAAGTAGTGATAGTGAAGTAGTGATATAAATAAAATAAGGATATACTCAACCCATGAAAAACTTCGGACTTTCCAGCGGGGGAAAAAAGAAAAGCACAAGGAACAAAGAAAACGGGCATTAATAATTATTAGGTAATAAAAAAAACTGCGAACTTTTTTCTTTTTCAGCGGTTACAATGCATAAATAGGGAATCAATACTAGAGAAAAAACGCTCGCATCACCACCGTCTCACTCGGTCGTGCCACCTGGGCACAGGGCACCACCGTCTCTGAAACCCTAGCGGCGCTACAAGAATAATCTTCACGTTCGAACAGGTGCTAGGTGGTGTTGCCGAACTAAGTTCAGTCTTTAAGGTAAAGTTTTGTACTGGCAACTTCACACACACATTTTCTCTCTTGAATTACAAAGCAGATAGTTACATTCTGAGTTTTTTCCTCTCTCTCTGTTTTTAGAATTCAAATGTATGTAGTTTTAGTTTTATTTCTTCGGAAATTGATTTTAAATTTCAATTTCAATTTCAATTTCCACTTTGCATGCATTCCGATTGCTTTCTATTTTTTATTTTGGAAGCACGGAACCAATGACTCCCAAAATCATTCCAAATTTTGTTATTTTAAAAAATTGTTACTCAGAATTACCGTGTGAGAAGAAACTTTTTGAATGAATATACATTTGTACATATGGCAGAACCATTTGACGTTTTCATTTGGATCACTTGGATCACGACTTTATCATAAAAAGGGGGAAAAGAGGAAGATCTTGAGAAGGTGCGAGAGTCGCCCAATTGAAACATCTCACTCTGACTGTTTGATCATCTGAAACATTCATATCGTGTGCCAGCTCCATTGTTGTCTAAGTGGTAACCCTTGGTTAGGGTCGTTGAGAAATGGAGAATTCAAGAAAATTGTTACTTCAGAAGGAAGACTGCCTCAAAAAAGAGTTACTTTAAATTGAAATTTACGACTCTTAAGAATGGTAATAATAACTGAAATTCCGGAGGCATAATCCCCAAGAACTCCATTTGCACCAATGCTACCTGTATATATGAGAGGCGGATGTCCTTGTTGGTATGAAGTGACAGAAGTATCTTGAATTTTTCATGCATTGTAGACTGGTTACGTTTCTTGGAGCACAATAGTGATATCCAAAAGAAATTGAAGGATTTGTCGTAAGAAAATAATTGACTTATTTGTGAAAACATTATATTCATATTATTCTTCCATGTGGAGTCTTGATAGTGCTGATGAAGTGTTATTTTGCTCCGATGGAGAGTTTGAACATGAGATTTATAATGTTACTGTGTTTTGATGAAAAACGAGGGTGTGTTTGGTTGACTGGGGATTTAAGTGTTGGACAGAAGCTATTTATGGCATTCCATCGTGTTAATGACAAGAACAACTGATTTGTTTCTTTCCTGTGTAACCATAAAAAAAGCCTATAATGGTGCAGAGTGGAACAAGAGGATCCACGTGGCAGAACAAATTAATGTGTTTAACGGCTTAATGCTGTATTGAGTTGAAGAAGTGGGGTGAAGGGGTATGGGGACATGGGGTACCATTATAAATGCAGATTATAGAAATATTAGTATACTTATGGTTCATATAGAGTGGAACATAGGTTCTGGATCAAATGGATCGATACTGGCGCGGAGCGCATCTAACGAAATGGAGTGACGGCATTGGCCTTGCACGGGTTTAATTCATTGTCTGGTTGTTAGGGAGGTTGAATGCCCCCGCGGTACGGTACAGGAGTATTTTCTGTACGGGCCTTAAAATCTTATATGGACTCAGGTTAGGGTTAGTATAAATAATATGTTGTCATCCTATTTTTCACTATTAAATAAAGAAATCCCCGCTTCGCTCTCGTGGACGAAGGCACACTGCCGAACTACGAAAATTCTTGTGTTGATTATCTTTTTCATCTCTTTAATATTGCGCATAAAATCCAACAATTTGCATGCACCATTTATCGATGGTGTGAATTTTATGAAATTCGATACTTTAAACCGCGGAATCAGTTTCACTACTTCTTAACATTTTTGGGCTAATCACTTATATATTGCTAGGAATTTGAAAGTTAACAAGTCGAATTTCATCTTCTTCTGTTCAGGCCTTGTGCAACCTGCTTAATATCTTATATGATAGCCTTTAGAGAGTACACTCTAGACATAAACTCCATTCTCCAGTAAAGTATCATTGTCTATGATTATATTGTCCTTGATATGATTTGATAAAATTATGATTCTACAAATTTTCTAAAATAGGCATGTATGTTTTATTAGCTTGGATTTGCTTGAATACTTTGTATATCTGTGTTTTGCGAGTAGCTTGCTTATCATGTAAGAATTATTTGTGTGATTATATTAGCACGATAATTAAGTTTTGATTTAATTAGAAGTTGCTTAATTGTTTTTATAGTTATGTTCAAATTGACAGATTTTGACAAGGTGGAATAAGACATTCTGGGAAAGCAAATTAGAGTATGGTATGCATTATGTTTTCTATAATCTTCACTTTTCTTCTCAATGAGATATTCAGTGATTTCCTTTGTCCATTAAAAATGAAGTCTTGTTGGAATAACTGTTTTTTTTCATACTTTGGCAAGTACATATGGACTTTTTGTGGTAGATGATGGATTCAACTTCATGGGCCTCCCTTGCAAGCAAACCCTCCCGTGAAAAGGGATAATAACCAATGAAGAATTGGGATTTTTTACCTGACTTCAGCACATACATACCTAATCTCTCTCTCTCTCCCCCTCCCCTTGCCTCCCTCCCTCTTTCAATGTTAGCACTACTTATTTGTTAAGCATTTACGTTGCAAAATAACCAATTTATTATTATTATTTTTTTTATAACACCCTCTCTCCATCCCCCCGTTAAAGATCCTAGTTCTATTTTCCTCCATATTTTATGGTTGCTTATTGGGTGTTGAAGCACAAGAAAGTTACAACGCCCCTTACAAACCAATGTGAAAATACTGTTCGTGGCCTACTCTACCACCTTCACTGTTATCATAAATTTGCAAATTAGCACGGGGGTGTAGATTGCCCATTTTTCTAACTTTACAAGGACTCCACGAGTTGAATCAAATTGTTAGAAATATTATTTCATTTAAGTAAATCTCTGTAAGGAATGGCTTTACCATCTTTGACGTTTTAGATTGGTTGTTTTACATACATAAATGTTCTTTTTGATTAATAAATGTTGTTTCTCATGTGCCAAATGGGCTTGCAACCTAATTTAATATGAAATTGTATCTACACGATCTTCAAAAATTAAAAAACCTGACAATGTGCCGTACTAGCAAAGTTAAGATAAAAGAACCTATTTCAACCTGAAACTTTTGACATAATGTTCAATAGTGTCGATTGTGCTCCCTTTCCTTTTGCCTTTTTTATTTTTCCTTCCTGTTTCCTTAACTTGCTTCACTTTGAAGAGAGGTTTCTTATCCCCTTTCCTTGTTTCCTTTCTGGGTCTGATTTTGGCTATATACAGTAGATGGCTTTGTGAAGAGTAGGTTTTATTTGTTCTTTTATATATATACACATATATATCATGCCACACGTCTTTATATTCTCAAGTGACATGATTTTCTTGTTTTGAAGGATCAACTACCGGAAGGAGTACCACCATTTATACATATTTCTCAAAATGAACTTTTCGGCCTAAAGTAAGCAATCATCCTTTATTTTCCTCGTTGTAGATATCTTGTTGGCAATGTTTTCATGATTAACCTGTTTGGAATTTTGTGTGATGCTATAATCTCCATGTCATCCTCCTTCATTTGTGCTTAGAATTAGCTTTTTGCCCCTATGTTCTATACATTTGATTTTTTTCAAAAGTTGAGGGAAATACGGAAAACACTTGGAGGTAAAAGAGAATTATGAAGAACATTTTCGATATGATATTTTATTTTGTAGGTAATATGATTTATTATTAAGCACATATTGTAATGTAATGCACACATGCTTGACATGTCTATTTATGATTTCCGCCCTATTGCAACTTCCGTGTCTCAATTGTAGAAAAGTCAGATAGTTATCCTCATCTGCATTCGTATATTACGTGAATTAACCAGCCAATATTTTCGTTTGTCCTATTGATTTCAATATTTCACGTTTCAGATTGTAGCTACTGAAAACCACTCATTCGCCTTTTATTCAATACTCATTTGTTTCCTCCTGTACAATTGATTTTAGTTTGTTCATAATGATATCTTGAATTTGTAAAGGAATCTTTCATTCACTTTCTTTTTCCCCTTGTTTCTTCTCTAGTTTTGATTCTTTGTTATCACAAAGGGATTTATCACCGCTGTCTCTCCTTTTGGTGTAATGTTCATGTTTTCCTGACATGAAGCAAACATTAGGTTTTTTCTGTGTTAATTTGGCTTGAGTGGATACAAGAAATATATTTCTCAATAAAAGAATGGGACCATTGTTCATTTGCTTCATTTTAAGCATGTGTGCAGGTTAGCATATTAGTGTAATCGTTGTGAGAAAACAGTGCTATATCAACTTCATAGCTAGGAACTACTCTTAAGATCCATTATTATAAGCATCATTCTGGATAAATATGTGATATATTTGTAAAAGACATGGAAAGAACAGATCATTGTTTTAGTCATTTCCCTGCCAGTATTTTGTTGTACATGTGCATGGAAATTGAACAAATTCTCAATCGACGATATATATGATCTGATTTTGTGTATCTAATTGATTTTTTAAATCATCACCTCTGAGATGTCTGCTTCCATTCGTTAAAGCTCTGATTTGAAAGTTGTTTTGCTGAAGAGATTACTGTAACTGTAATTATTATTTTGGGACTAGCTTTTTTGAACTCTGATGGATGGATGGTCTTTTCATTGTATTTTTAGACGCAAAAAACTGAAAGAAGAGGATATTGCCATTTGTGAGTGTGTCTATGATGAAACGAATCCTGAAAGTGCATGTGGAGAAAGGTGTTTGAATGTATTAACCAGCACAGAGTGCACGGATGGGTACTGCCCTTGCAGGCAACACTGCAGGAATCAGGTTAACATGTAAACCGTTCAAATTTTCTGTTTGTTTGGATCTTATGGCATGCACATCAATTGGTTTGGCATATGTTGAAAGCTAAAATGAACACCATCTGTGCTGCAAATGTTCTTAATTACAGACTCCAGATCTTGTAACAATGTATCTCATTGACAAGGATACATTTCTATCATCTCATATCTCCGATCACGTGAATATTTTCGGCTGAAGTAATTTACTCCTAATTTATTTCACTGGTCCGATCCATTTCGAAAAGATGTGGTTTTATTTGTTTTGTTCATTAATATTGTGCTCTAGATCAGCTACTTTCTACTAACATGCCAATGATCTAGTATGCACCGACACCCTTCCAGCGCTGGCGAGTCGGTGTCCGACATGTCACCGACAATTGTCAGAAATGCTATGTGGCATATCTAAATTATTTTTTGATTTTGTATAGTTGGACATGTTCCTTCTATCGGGATACATGTCTGTAGAATCATTTATTTAAATATTATTTTTAATGTTGTATAAAATCTGATAAATCATTTAGTTAACCTTTTAACCACATGATACGGCTTTTCCTGATTTGGGGAAATAAGTATATCATATTGAGGTCACAACTCACAAGGTATAGAATATTACCCAAGGCTATCTTAAATTATTTTGTTAATCTGTATGCAATGATTTAAAATATTTAATTTTGATTTGTCATTGTGTACATTTACAGAAATTTCAGAAATGTGAATATGCTAGAACAAAGTTGTTTAAAACCGAAGGGCGTGGTTGGGGGCTTCTAGCTGACGAGAATATAAAGGTAGTTTTTTGAAGCCTTCTTATCTTATTATGTATACTCGATACATGTGAGATTTATCTGGTTCGAGGATGGAATAAACATCAACTGTTGTTTTATACTTTTATTCAACTTTTTCCATGTTGTAATAGCACGATCATACAATATGGCTAGTGTACTATAGTTTTGCTAAAATCTCTTAGATTATATAACCTTTAAAACTCTCAATTTGGTTAGACATCTTATAAAGTGTCTTAGACAAATTGACTTTATGTTCACTAAGCATTCTTTTTTCGCCTTTACAGGCTGGACAGTTTGTCATTGAGTATTGTGGAGAAATAATCTCATCAGCAGAAGCAGAGAAACGGTCCCAAGCTTATGAAACTCTAGGTTGAGTATCGATTTTCTATATTTATGCCAAATATTGGTTACTGAGAATTGCTTATACATCAATTGGTTACGTTATGCAGGTCTTAAAGATGCGTACATAATTTCTCTAAATGCCAATTGTTTTATTGATGCTACAAGGAAAGGAAGCCTTGCAAGATTTATAAATCATTCATGGTAAGCAGAATGTAAAAATGAATACAACCTACATGTGCTAAAGCTGTTAATCACATAGATATGAAGTATTTGAGGCAAACATACGGTGCTCATGATTTTTCCGGAATATGCAGTCAACCAAATTGCGAGACCAGAAAGTGGACTGTGCTGGGGGAAACAAGGGTTGGGATATTTGCAAAGAAAGATATTTCTGTTGGAAATGAACTGGCCTATGACTACAATTTTGAATGGTATGGTGGTGCCACTGTTCGCTGTTTATGTGGGGCTGCTAACTGTTCTTTATTTCTCGGTGCAAAGTCCCATGGTTTCCAGGTGATTGTCTAGTTTTTGAAGTAGCATAATCAGTCTTGCATATGATTGCATACGATCTGCCTTATTATAATGAAACTAAAACCATGGTAGAACCTACAGAATCATTTTTATGCTAATTGCCAGGTGCAGTTTTGCAGCTGTACTCCAAACCTTTGCTTTAGTTTTTGTTATATACCCTTATTGCTTGTATATGTGCACATCTTCTCCAAACCCTCGTTCCACCTTGAAGATCTTACTACCATGCCTTCATATAAAGGATGTTCCTTGATTCTCTTTTAGACAATTTTTGGTATTCACCTTAACCTCAAGTTTCTTTGTTAATTTTTTATTTGGAGACAAGCTCCACATCTTATGATTTTTCTTGTCCAAGTAGGAGCATGAAGCCGATAAATACATGCAAAAAGGGTGCATGAGATAGTAAGATCTCTTGTGCCTAACTAGGAACCTTAAGTGGCTCCACAGAAGGGTCTGATAGTAATAATTGTGTCAAAAGGCATAAACCATGCTTCTATCAAAATGAATCTCTATTGTCATTTTTAATGTTTCTTGAATTGAAGCTCGTGTAATGGATTTAACAGATTTGATCACAATTTTTTATTTTTTATTTTTTTTAAAGAGGTAACTTTTTTATTATTTTCACTCCCTACTTTGACATAATTATCTAAAAACTGGCATCTATTTATTTCTTTTTCTTTCCTTTCAATTCATCTCTTTCTTTTTCTGGTATGGTCAAATTGTGGCCTATACAGGTTGTTAGAGTCCCTTGACAACTTTTCATTGTCGTATTTTTTGCCACAGGAGTATAACCATGTATGGGAAGATGGTGATGACAGGTAAATTTCACGTCAATATTATTATAAGAAGGAATGAAGTTTTTCTGGATGTTTTAGCTTTAGCTATAGCTATAGCAAATATGTTATTATGAGAGTTTCAATTGATGTTGATTCATTTTTGTATATTTGAAATTCCTACAGAGTTGAATCTTGTGAAAAATTTGCATATCAAACTGTAATGAGGCATCAATTAAGGTTCCAATAGAATAATAGTCTTGAATTTTGTACATATAGGCTTAGAAAGGAATATCACACGGAAGTTGATATTATTTTAAAGTTCGTGTGTTGTGACAGTCTCGTGTGAACCAGAATGAGAGGGGTTCGTGAATTCATCAAGTATTGATGCTGCAAGATCTGGAGAGGGCTGATGTACATCTGCAGAATTACTATATAAAAAAGGCATTGGCTGGAAGAAGATATGTTGGAGAGTCGTTGGGAAGAGGCTTGTCGAATTTGAGACAGGAATATAGGCTGAGACTAATTTTAACTTGCAATTCGATAGTTGAAATTGCTGTGAATGACATGGGAGTTAAAAAAGTACATAAAATGCTAAGCCTTCTCTCTAATAAACTTGAGTTGGCCATTTCAATCCTTTATTGCCATATAGTTCAATCAAATTTCTGTCAGCTAAAAGGCCTAATTAAATTAGATAGTTTACAATTAGATCTGATCATATTCTTGACGCACCGATTTTGACATACTGGTCTCTCATCTAATTGATGACACTGCAACTGTATCTATCTTGTGAATGACAAGTTCTTTAGGTCTTGTATGCCCCAACCATCTAAGTCGTTATTTCCCTTTATTTTCTTTCAATTAGTTCCACCTTTATTGATTGATGTATATCTGTGTTTCTTATTTATTTATTTATTTATTTATTTATTATGATATGTTCATGCATCGATCTTTGAAAACACATACTTTTATTTAGATCTTTGCTTCTCTTTTCCTTATGTTGAGATCTTATAAGCAATTTATTCCCTTTTCTCGGTCCATGATATCCATACAATTTTTGTTGGGTTCTAACCTATACTTCTTAAAAGCTTCTACATTTTTATATCTTGGCAAGTCTTTTGAAGGTTTTAGTCTTAAATGCCGTTTAAACCTTCTCATTACATCACTATATTCACTTATTATGCGGAGTTTTACTCGTATGACTTGTTTGGGAAAGTAGTAGTGCCATTTTGGAGCATGAGATAGTATAAGAAGTGGAGTTAAAATCTTGTTCATTGTATTTTACAGCTTGGACAAGTGCTGCCTACGGAACAAGCCCTTGGAGTCTATAAATACCTCCTTTTTTAGATCCTGCATTAGTTCTGTATATATACCTTTTACTATTTCTTCAGAATCCTATGCTTGAAAGTTACTTATGTCACCAGGTGGATTTTACTATGTATTTTTACGGACTTGAATTTCTTTTCCATTTCTTAATTAACATTTATTACTGACATGTTATGTAGCTTTTTTCATCAGGAATAACGTTGCTTTTCAACCTTCTGAGTAAGAATGAAATCTAGTTGTGTAAGCTTTTGCTCAAATTCTTGAACTTGTTAGACGAGTGGGTCTGTTGTCAAGTTCATTTCCATTAATACCCGGTATAGGTCATGCCAAAGCCCCAAAAAAATATTACTTTCTTCATTCTGACCCCTAATGCTGAAATTTTGGTTCACTATTTCTTATCTCAAGTCACCTTTCATATGAACAAAGGAATCCCTTCAACAATGATCATTCCTTGATTAGGGTTTGCTCCTTAGTTTATTACCTTGCGTAATCAGATTTGCAAAGCATGTGTACTAATAACACTGATCAACCCTTATCCATGCTTGTATAAAAAAAAAATAAAAATGTAACATTGACTTGTCTACCCATTACATTTACTTGTTTCTAATACTTCCTGTACAAGTTCTTGTATTCCATGTTTGTGCCTAATTCTATTATTTCAGTCTAACTTTTCACTTGCCAACATCATTAGTGTAAGGGAAACTTTGCTAATTTTAGGCTTCTCAAGGCACCAATGTGCCATGTCTCTTAGAGGACGTGCTCTTAGATAACATTTTTGTACTTTTCACTCAACTCTCCAGTGCTGTGCATCACTAGTAGAGGATGTTCCGTAGAAATTTAATGAAGGATTCATGGTATAGACATAACAAAGTTTTCACTTGGCTATCAACATGCTATGACCGTCCTCTACCATTGGTTCGGACTGGCTATGAGGGAAACATAGGCGGAGTTTTAGAGCATCAAAATATGTAGGAGATAAATTGCTGGAAAGCTGGCTGCAGACACAGGTGATTTTAGTGACCGTATTACTTGGTATGTTGGGAAGAGAAGTGGTTCTTGTGTGGTACCCTTTGAACACTCTCATAATGAGATGTAACCCTAATGGATGGGTAAAAGTTAATAGCTAAAATTGTTGGGATTGTGTAATGGCATTAGGTGGGGAAAGGTGGTCAAGAGAATGGGTCAAGAAAGAAGAACTTGTGAAGACAGCTTTGTTAATTGGGATGGTATCATGGTCTTGGTGGAGAGCTGTTTTTTTGTTCCCTGCAGATTTTGAAATTTTAATATTTTCTTCTTACTCCTAGCTATGGGTTTTGACATGGAACTTATTTCCCTTGTCTAGTGATACATTCTCTTTATTACAAGTTTTTGTTTGGAAATATGAATCTTGCCATTTTCATCATTTGTTGTTAGGATCCTTAGCCTAAACTGGCTTTTGGATTGCAGATATACAGTTGAAAAAATTCCGCTCTATGACTCAGCTGAGGATGAGCAATTTTCCTCTTATGGTACTAGCCCATCTGAACGTGAATTGGCAGCTGGTGAAGAAGATGAGTACTCTGAGGTCATGGGTGGTATCAAGGGGTCTGAAATTAAATCAGAGGCTGATAGTACTATGGGATCAAGTTATATAGTTCCCATGGAAGGTGTGGTGGCAAAATCTGTGGAGAGAGGAAGTAGCAAGGAAGCAAAAGCCTTTACAGAAACTACTGCAATTATATCTCGCATCCCGAGTAATAGTGCAGGTCTGAAGTTTAAAACTGGACCAAGTTCTATTTCAAATAAAAAATCACAGCATACTCCCAGGGGAAGAGCAAAATTTTCTGGTAGAAAACAAGTCAGCTCCAAACCTGTTGCTGAACTATTTGCATCAAAGGAAGTACAGGCTGAAATAACCAAATATGAGGTACAAGCATTCTCTCTCTCTCTCTCTCTTTCTCTCTCTCTCTGGTGAAATACACTGGCTTGGTTTATTTGTTTACTTCTCTTTACTTTAGATTTGGGAATTCAGTTAGAGGAATGATCTGTCCTTCGGAACTGATTATATGCGTTTCTGATTGAAATTACGAATGCTGCATTGCTCTGGTATATTTTAACATAAAGTAAGTGACGGTTTGTGCAGGGAGCATAGTAGCATTTTGAGGTTTTGGCTGTTCTTCCTAATGATATTTGAGTTGTTTTTCACGTCGATTTAATCTGAAAGATTGATTTGCAATTCTTCTTGCTGATGAAGTCTTTTTGTCACTTCAGCGGTGGTATTTCTAATTCAAATATGGCATGAGGGTCTTCTCTCTGACTGAAATGTTTCGAGTAGATTATCTTGAGTAACATATAAATCCAACTGAACTATGTCCTCTTACTTGCACTGTTTCTATTTTCGACTCATATATTTTTTTCTGTTGGAATTTAGGAACATGCCCTGTTCTTTAACAGTTATTGGCCATTGCTTGTATAATTATGCAGGAAAGGAAAAATAAAGCCAATGCCGATCTCAATTCTGTGTACGATGAAATACGTCCCATTATTGAAAAACACGAGGGCGACAGTCAAGATAGCGTACCTACAAGTGTTGCAATGAAGTGGATAGACGCAACCTGCGCCAAGTATAAAGCGGACTTCAACTTTCACTTCTCCATCATAAAGAACGTCATGTGCCCTTCAATACTTGCCGAAAATGAAGCAAAACTTTCTCCAGGAGATGGCCAGAATGAAACAAAGTAATTGACGAGCTACAATTCTCATTTGCGAGATATTTTATCCAACAGTTTTAGTGACTTATACATTAGGTTTCACAGAAAATTTCCCCATATGAAGTTTTAGGTGTAGTGAAATTAAACATCAACTTTCAAGACAGACGGGCTTAATAAAAGAAAATGGAGTTTTAGGTACATGATGAGTGGTACAATTATTTTGGTGTAAATTTAGCCATGTTTGGCTCCCATTTTGTGGGAAAATCAATGGGTGGAATAACATTTTTTTTTTTTAAAAATGAGTGGTTGAAAAAGAAGGAAAAGTTTTCGATTTACGTGTAATATTATTTTATGAAAAATTGTGTAGTTGAAAATAAGAGAGAGAAAAATGAAATATAATGAAATGAAAATTAATGGGGGTCAAACGGGATGTTATCGTAAATATGAGAAGTACAGGTTCGATAGTACATTTTAAACTCTTTCCAAAAACCTTCAACTAACCTATTTGTTTATTATGGTCATTGATCAATAGGGTGAAATTAAAAAAATAAAAAATAAAAAATAAAAAAAATAAGTCAATGAATGCCAGCCTTCTTACCAATAGTGCGTATTCAATGCCTATATCAACCCACTGCAGGTTATATGTACAATAAACTGCCTTAACCGCTTAGCAATTTAACGAAGGGCCGCGTGTTTATGGTGGATATCATTTTTTTGTTAGTGGTGATGATTGTGAGCCACAGCCGAGTGCTGCCGCAGTATATTCTACATGGGTGAGAAGATACTCATAAATTTTCTTTCTTATCCCATCGATTGTCTCAGTCGAGATATGAGGCATCTCGTCATCCTTGCTAGATCCAATTTCATCCAACCAGTCGTTCACACTCTTGAGCTGACTTAACATGCCAGTTATCTGATCGTTGTCTGACAAAGTCGACTCATCAACATCAGCATCCAAGAATCTTTCCACGAAACATAAGAACCAATTTTGCACTTCCGATTTCAACATTGCAGCAAAGTCGACAGCCTCATTAACACCATCTCCTTTGATCCATACAACTGGAGGGGAAGTTCTTGAATTCTGACCTGCAGTCGGCCCATCAGCTAGCTGGCGCTTAGTTCCTAATGAAATGTTCTTGGAGTTTGCGGCCTGTCGGGGTTTGGACAGGCTTTTCGATGCTAGGTTTTTAGTAGAGTTTTCAAGGAATAATATGGGTTGATGAACGGGATTAGTCTCTGGGATTAGAGCTAGAATTTTTGTTGTTGCTGAGTTTGAGGTACCTGGTTTGCAGTATATTGTGAAGGATGACAAATTGGTGGCTAATGCAGCATTAACCCAAGAAGCTGCCTGTTTACGTCGCTCTGATGTGACCTTCAGTGCTTCTTTTGATGAATTTTCTTCATTAGCTGAAGAATTGAATGTAATAGCTTTTGAAAAAGAATTGGCAACTAGTTGAGCATTATTCAAGTTTGAATGCATAGCCAAAAACTCCTCCACAGCAGGCTGTGGGTTATCTTCTTTTGCAGAGGAACTCAACTCACAGTATGTGCTGAAGACATAAAAGATAACTGATTAGCTAATATGAGAGAAAACAAGGCAATAAATGCGGTTCATTCTAATATGAGAGAAAACAATGGCAATAAATGCGGTTCTAGGAAAAGTGATGGCCTCGAGTCGTGTTTCCTTATGAGTTTGTACACCAGTTTTTTTCTACAAAAATAGGTCCAAGGTAAGTACATCTCACATAAATCTAGTGCATATGTTTAAAAAAAATGAATACTTATTACTGGGTGACAAACGGCAAATGAATAGTTCAATTGGAGACCAGGTTTTCTGACAGTGATGTTTGCTAGGTTGATATGACATAATTAAGGGAGCGTCATCAAGTTCAATTTGTACTCTCAAACATTAAAATTTCTACACCAAAGAATCCCGAAATTCTAGAACTATCGCTAAGCAAACTACTACAAGAATCCAGAGATGTAGGCAAGAAATTCACTTAATAAACAAACATCAATCTAATTAATGACTTAAACTAAAGTACATAGATCACTTTTCAGATATTTTCTTCAGGGAAATACCTTAAACATTGCAGTAAGCTTTCTGCTGAAGAAGCCTCTTGAATTGCTTCTATGGCAGCTGTTTGAGCCACATCCCTATGCTTTAAGACTTCCTGCATATCCAGGATGGGGAATTTCTTTATTCAAAACTAGACTTGTGCAAATCCTGATCAATTTATACATGATTTCATCCATTATGTATATTGTTAAACCAACGACAAAATTAATTAGCCAACAAGGGATCACATTTTCTCAGAGGTCAAAAGAAAAGGTTCTTAAGCCTAAACACACTCCACTTTTTATGATATCTCCAACTTAGTATCCTGATCCATCTCTCTTTCTTTTACTACGGTAAGTCAATTACTGATTAATGTCAATTCACATCAGTAACTATTGATAAAAAAGTGACTGACTTTAGCATAGTCATAAGGTCTACTAAAAAGAAGGAAAGAAAAGCATTTTCACAACTACCCCTTGTTCTTGTAAAAGTTGTATCACAGGAATTCAGGTATAAGAAATGCTAAACCCGTGTAGAAAGTTTTAGATTGAGATAACAAATGGGACAAGGGTCCAAGTCTCATAAAAGAGGCTAACAAACTGAAATTCAATATTGAGATTGTACCTCCCCCAGCTTTATGAGCGAAGATGGGAGTGAGGACCATGAAACACTTCCAGCTGTTGATCTCCTGTTACTGGAGGAAACGTTTATCAAGTTCCCCGGTAATCCATGATTAGCAACCTCCCCAGATAACTTCTTCTCAACAGATCTCCGTCCAGTTGAATTGTCAATATCAACCAAATCTCTGTTGGCAGAATCATTCTTTACAGATGCAGTAGCCTTATTGCCAGCCTTATTCTTTCCTCTAGATGGCAACCTTTTGCTTGTTGATTTCCTTGGCACCTACACAGTAAGGGAAATTAGCTAGAAGTCAGATTTATGATCCAAGGCCAAAAATCAATAGGCAAGTCATTTTAATCCTAAGAAAGCACAGGAAAAAAGAAAAGGCAGCTGAATTTATAATTTAATCAAAATCACTCCCACTTATAGATTTCTCTGTTTGGACATATTTTGTCCTACAGTACAGGCCATTGGTGTTTCATCCCAATGAATAGTAAAACTGATAACAGGCAATTCACTACTCGGGTTAAGGCAAAAGTTATCAGACGCTATCTAGTCAGTTTAATTTATCAGCACCATCATTGAACTCCTTTTTTTAAAGTCATCTACTTAAATTACGTATCTATTTTATTTCAATTTTCTTCTTGGTTTTCGATGGCATTAGTTTTTACAATTCACTAGTTACAAATAAAAGACACGAAGAGCAGAACTCACAGAACTACTCCAAGCCTCTGGCTTCAAATCGTGCCTATTGACCTTCAATCTGGGACTTTCCCAACCCTTTATGTCCATATTTCCTTCCCAGCTCTTTCTCAGTGCCTTTGGTCCCAACGGAAGTCCTTGAACAAAGTTCTTCATCAAGCTCCCGCTAGACACCTTCTTCGTGGTTGGACTTATCCTGTGAGTAGAACCCACCTTTTCCTCTTGTTTCAATTTAGTGGGTGTCTTTTCCAACCTCTCCAACCCCTTGACCTTTGACTGGTTATTGACCCCATTTGCAAACTTCTCAAACGAAGGTGGCAATGAATAACAGCTCGTGGGTGACGAGGGTATTGACCTCAAACTCGAAGACTTCGATTTTTTTACGGATTCCTTCTTCACATCCAACGTCAAATCTACCTTCGACGACTGAGACCAGGATTTAGTCAATCCAGACACCTTCTTATCTATTCTATCTACTTTAGCACTACCATTCAATCTCAAGGAGGAAGATTTATTATCTTTCACCACATTATTGCTCGATAACTTTGAAAGTGAATTGGATTTCCGTAATGATTTTGAATTTGATGACAAATTAGCATTTTTATTGAGGAAACCTAAAGAATGAGTTGCAACTATATCTTCAGGGGTTCCCACACAAGGGTGGCGCCCTGGGACTGGCCTAACCCCTCTAAGAATAGGCACAGGTGAGGCAGCCTCAAGCCTCTCAACATTTAGAAACTGACCCAATTGAATCTTATCACTAAGAATGAGATCAACATGTTCATCAGGCAGAGACACATAAGTAGCATGGGCAGAGTCTGATACCTTAAGATAAAACCCTTGATTTGAGAAGAGATCACCACCTGTTAGTGCAGGTACAATGCTCACAACTTGCAATACAGATGATCTGTGCTGCCCACCTACCTTTACATCTGTATTCATGTGCTGCAGTAATTTTAACAAAATTCCAGGAACCAATGTTACCATTTTTCTGTTCTTCTTCTTTAGTACCTTGAGAAAACCGCAAATGAAAATTTCAAAATTAGGGTGCTATAATAATTCTGTTTTCATGACCAAAGAGCTTAAAATCCCTTGAGGCGGACTTTTCGCAGACAACCGGGATAAAATTAGATTGTTACACACAACATATCCATAAATTAACATCACATTGTGAAGATTAAAAAGAAAACAGATCAAAAATCAAATCTTTGGGCAGGGCACTAACTAATGGTGAAAATTGAATGGGAAATTACAGGCGATATTTAAGCAGAACTCAGGTTGGAAAAATGAATAAGTTCTGGAAAAGTTGGAAAAGTGTGCTGCAATCATTGATCGTCAGCAGAATTTAGGTGGGTTGAGAGGCAACTTTTGAGGGAAATTGTTACAGATTGCCAGTTTAGTGGAAATACAATAATGAGTAGAAAAAAGTCAGGTTTTTTTAACGTGGGAGAAGAAGATTATTCCGCGGAAAGACCATAAAATGAAATAAAATAGGCAACAGAGTATAATTGTTGTAAAGACAGCACTTTGCATGATTGATATTGAGGTATATTGAGATAGTTCTACGAAAGGTACTGAAACGCGAGTATACACGCACTTTGACAGATCATTTCTTGGCCAAAGACTCCTGTATTTTAGTCAACGAACTCATCAACGAGAGTAGAGTGAAAGATTAAAAGGTTGAACTCAGGTCAAATTGGATCGAAATGGTAGTAAATAAACACAGCCCAGTTTCATTTTTGTTAAAAAAATATATTTTTGAATAGTATATTGATGAAAAATCTGTAGTTAAAAATTAAAAAAAAAATTATAAATTTGCTTGTAATATTATTTTATTGAAGAATGTGTAATTAAAATGTAGTTAAATCACTATCGAATAATGTATTTTGATTTTAAAAAAATTGAGTTCAAACAAGGGCATACTAAAGCTCTTTTTAAGTAATAAATCATTGCGAACTACAAGTGAAATGAGAATTGCAAAGCGAATAAATCTTTATCTAACACCTAGATCAACGTAATTGTGAGAAGGGAAGCACCTTATTAACTCTCGAAAAATAAAATGACAATAATCACATTATGTCTCCGATATTAAGACACAAATATCCAACAAGATATTGACATTTGGACCACAAGAAATGAATCACACTCAAACTGAAAATCTGAATATTAGACAAAATTTATACACTCTTTCATTGCCATGGCTTCCCAAAATAATGCTTTTCAAATACCACCAAGTGTTTTAGATGACCAGTCTTGTAAATTAGGCTAAGAATGGATACGGCCTACTGAATTTGGAAAATTGGCTTGGACCCTCCCACTAGTCGCGCCATGCCCAAGGGACCATAGGACAGACCGGCAAATGTTTTGCTAAGACGCGGGGCATACTCGAGCAGTGTTCTTATTTTCGGAAATGTATGATTGGAAAGGTAATTAAAATTGTGGATTTTATCCATTTAACATTTTTTTTTTGAGTATTTCTAGTTAAACCAAACAGGGTTTTAGATTTTAACTTTTAGTCCAGTTAAAGTAAATAATTAATTTTGACTTTCGATTACATATTTCATCAACTTTCATCTAAATATTCTAAAACTTGGGACCATGCTACACTACCAGGCCTGTAAGATGCCTGGTAATGCAACCCCTTTCACAGTTCGAGATGGGGGTGGGTTTTGGGGGGGTATTTTTTAATCATGGGGCTCGCCGAGATGAGAGAAAATGGGAAAGGAGTCCTCTACAAGCCTGATAGAGGAGCATTACTCTAAAACTTGTTACTTTTGACTACATCAAACGTGATGTTTAGGCTTTTATATGCATAACAAACTTGACGTGACATGTCAAAAGTATAGATGTGCTAAGTGTATTATCTAGAAGCTACTTGAGTTAGACAGTACTTTTTCATATATTTGCTATATATATATATTTGTGTGTGTGTGCGCGCGCGCGCGCCCGCATCTAAATCCTTTTTTAGGGAACTTGTTGAAAGTCGGCTAGATAGTTAGGGAACTTGTCAAAAGGGTAATTAGCATAATACGTCATTATCTTTCACCATTATTGTAGAAAAACGTCTTTACCTTTCATTTTTTCATATTTTAACTCTTATTTCAATTTTTCATTACGCAAAAGGTCATTTTCCTCCATTTCCTCCATTAAAATTTGTGAAATAACAAATATACCCTTCAATTTGAATAAAACAAAAAGAAAAAAATATCTAATTGCAATCATAGTTTCAATTTTATTTTATTTTTTAAAAAGTGTAAACAAGTCCCAAATATTAGAGGAAAAAGGCTAATTAGCACATAATGTCCATACCTTTCGCTATTATTATGAAAAGAGTTCATACCTTTCATTTTCTAACATTTTCACCCTTAATTATAAAATTTGATTGTGCAAACCATCATTTCTATCAATTTTCATCAAATTTCTCAATAAAAAAGTTGTGAAATGACTAATATACCCATCTATTTAGTATTTTTTTTAAAGAAAAATAAAGAAATAATTGTAACCATAGTTCCAATTTTTTTCTAAAAATTGAAGAAAGGTTTCAAATAAATCATTAAAAAAATAGAAATTAATTTTTTTTTAAAGTGCAAACGATTCCAAAATAAATTATTAAAAATTGAAAAAAAAAATCAAAAAGTGCAAACGAATTCCAAATAAATTATTAAAAAATAAAATAAAATCAATTTTCTTTATTTTTTCTTTTTAAATATAAATGGAATGAATATTCATCATTTCACGGCTTTTATTGAAAAATTGGACGAAAATGGATAGAAAGGATGATTCGCGCAATTAAATGTGTAATTAAGGATGAAAATGCTAAAAAAAAATGAAAGGTATAGACTTTTTCAACAATAATAATGAAAAGTGGGAAGTTATGTGCTAATTACCCTTTTCCTAATTTATTTAGGACTCGTTTGCACTTTTAAAAAAATTTTGAGACTATGGTTGCAATTACTTCATTCTTGTTCTTTTTCCTTTATTTAAATAGAATTGCATATTAGTGATTTTACAACTTTTTATTAAAAAAAATGGATGAAAATTGCCTTTCGCACAATGAAAGGTGAAAAATAATGGTGAAAATGTCAAAGAAATGAAAGGTAAGAACGTTGTCATAATAATAGTGAAAGATAAAGACATTATGCCATTGTTTGAGCCCCATTTTTTAGGAAAAATGAATTTTTGAATAGTGTATTGGTAAAAAATGTATGGTTAAAAAAAAGAAAAATTTTTAAATTTGTGTGTAATATTATTTTATAGAAGAATGTGTGATTAAAATGATGTCAAAATACTGTTAAAAATGTATTTTTTTTTTTCAAAATAATGGGACTCAAACAAGGCCTATATGTTAATACCCTTTATCAAAAGTTGGCTACATGATCTCTTACTTTCGGGGTAATTTAGTCAACTAGAACTATTCCTTTCAATTAAAATTAAGGGTATGTTTGATTGTAATAATGGAAGTTGGGTGGTAAGAAAACGAATTTCGCATAGTTGAATTGCCTAAAACTTGTTTTTATTGAAAATTGTAAATTAAATATATTTGATTTCTATAATTTTTCACATGTAAAATGTTAAAATTTTGGATATTTTGGTGTTCATTTAACTTTGTTTTTCATGAAAATTGTCAATTAAAGAGATAAAATTTATTTTTATTGTAAAAAAAAAAAAAAAAAAGGAAGTTGGAAAACCCAATCCCACCAAAACCAAAAGAAAATCAATTCCTTAAAAATCAAGAAAATGTAGTCGTGTGGGGAATTAACTGGAAAACCAATTCCATGGAAATTTTTTTCCATCAAGCATACCATTTGAGTGAAAAAAAATTTCATGGAAAAAGAAACCTATTAAATAGGTCCTAAAAGTAAGGAAACAAAGAAACTAGAACATAATATAGATTTTAGAAGAAAAAATAAAAACTTATCTTCCCCCCATCTTGTCACTACCACATCTCTAACTCTTATTCTTGCCACCTTTTCCTCTTTCCCACGCCCTCAAAAGAGTGAAATATACATTAACTTATCGAGATCAAGAAAAAAACAAGGAAGAGCTGACGGATTGTCATGAAATCGAGAGGGAGAAATTTTCCCTAATTTTCGAAAAAGTAAATATTTGATTTTGCAGCTAGCTATTGTATTGAATAAAAAAAGAAAATAATTTTTTATTATTTTTAAAATGGGTTGACCACGATACCTCTGCTTAAGTCATTCTTTTGATTGCCTTTAATTCAGAACTCCTTTATTTTTATTTTTTTAATTTTTAAAGTGGTTGACTACGATACCTCTGCTTAAGATCCTCTTAATTCAAAATTATTTTTTTCACATACTCATTTTCAATCTATTCACACAATAAATATTATACACGTAAACGAAAAACTCCTTTTATTTTCTAACCATACATTCTCCAAAAGTTTACTATTCAATTTTTTATTTTATTTTTTTTCCAAATAATGACTATCAAGTAGGTGCTAAAAATGGTCAAGCCGGTTAATTGATTTTTTGACAATTTTTGTCCAAAAGTATCTAGATATTTAAGTACACAAAAAATCAAAGCTTGGGCATCTCAATATCAGAAAAAGTTTGAACGGGGCCCAGGGCAGGGTCGGTGGGGGCCCTTAAGGTTGGGGTTCAACCTTTTTTTTAAGTTTGAACGGGGCTTAACTGCTGTAAATACTATAGTTAGGGGACCGAGGTTGGAAATTCCCGTGTAATTGATCTTACTCCATGCTCTCGTCTTTGTACTTAATTTTTTTTTGGAATTTTGCAGTTCAATTGCCAACGACATTTTAGAGCTAGTAAAAGCCTCTCAATCTCAATTCTTAATTCCAAAATTCTGTATTGTGATCCAAATGTTGGAAGCTATGCCATTGTTGTTCACACCCAAATGCAACCCAACAATTTCGCTTCATCCTTTTCGCAGAACTCTAAACCAGAAGCACCTGTTTTTCAATTCAATTTCTTGCTCACTTTCCAAAAACTTCAAGATTCATGCTGCAAAGGAACAAGAACAGGTTCCTGAATCGAAGCCACATATAATAGGTCTGAATTTTATGTGGATCTTCTTTATTTTGTGCTAATAAAATTGTGGGGAGACTGAATTTCGTATTGTTTGAACTGGGCAGATGGAGAAAGTAATTCAGTAACTGAAAATGGTAGTGGTAGTGGTGAAGGATTTGATTTTGGATGGTTACCTGCTTTTCCTCACGTCTTGACTGCTTCCTTGTCCAATTTTCTATTTGGTTATCACATTGGGTAATTTACAAATCCCTTTCTCTTTCTGTTGAGTTCTTGAATATATATGTATAAATTGGAGTGTAAACAGAAGTCTAATGTCCTTAACCTTGACTTGTAGTTAGCACATTAATAGCTTGTTCAAAGTTCATCTCAAACAATTGAGGACCCCTTAAATTGATTATGGTACTGAGCTCAGATTGAGCAGCCTAAAGCTCGACTATAATCCGTTAATGTGTATATAGTTATACACGATAGAAACTCTAGTATGATCTTAACTGAAAGAAGCGAATATGAATACGTAAAAATAAAAAATAAATATATAAAATAAAATGAATAAAAAATGCTTGTTATG